CAATGTGGACGTTGGATAATATAGATCAATGTTGAAAACGTTGCTATTAGCACCGGTACCAAACAAAACCAATATTGTTTTCTCAAAAAACACCTATATGGAAACATTGGTTCCAAGCAAAAAATGAGAAAACGGTACTTACAACTCCACATGCCCAGTACTATTTTTATGAGAAAACGATGCAATGTTCCCAACACCGATATCAAACACCTACCAAATATATGGGGTCCGCTAAATGAATCATGTTTTGCCATTGTCTTCTTTTCAATGGGTCAACTAAAATACAAAAGTATCATAATCATCATCATCAAAGCCTTGTCCCAACTACAGTGTTGACTTCATGAATACTATTTGGCAATTTCCATTATGTTCAGTGCAATATTATATATTATTAAATTATGGGTTCTTAAATAATTTTTTATAATTTTCACCGAAATTTTTTTTGGTCCATCTTAACTAGCTAATAACCCCCTCAACTTGTAATAAACCAATTTTTTTTTACTAGGTGCTGTAAATAGTCTTCTGTACATGTCATAAAATAAAAAAAAAACAATATAATGATGCAAATAAATTTATTAAAAAATGTTATGAAGTCCAAATTTTCAACATTTTCATTTAGGACGCATGGTCTAAAATGGTTTAAATTTTCAAAATTTTAGAACTTTGATTCCATGGGACGCTAAAGATCTTTTTCAACATTTCTTTTTTCAAATCTTCTAGCAATCCAATCTGACTATCTAGCTATTTATGGTACCTCAATGTACGTGCGTTATATAAAGAAACATATTGCTTATTTAGATTGTTTAGAAAAAGTCTTAATGAAATAGACATTTTTAGACAAACTAGTATAAGGGCCCGTGTGGTGCATGAGATATTTGAACCAATGAATGATACCACAACCAGATACAGATCTTAACCAAGTTGGGTGTAACCATTTTTTTGATTCTTCACTGCTTATGTTAGTGCCAATCTGTTTGATTGTTCCAAAATGAAATCATACTTCAATTATTTCATCCTAATTGAGTGTGAGTGGTAATGTTAAGAAAACAAAACTGACTTAAAACATGATCAATGATTCCATTTGACATAAAATGTAATGTGTGCATATATAAGTATGCAAAAAGCTCCATATAGCAACATTAGCACAATGGCTTAAAGGGTTGTTGAACCAACTATAATGCTTTGCGCCAGTCATAAATTAAAATCCAAGGATTGACCTTAGTTGGAATGGTGTGGCATAGATTAATTTCAATTAAAGAGCCTAGTAGCAAGGGGATTTGCTCTCAACTTTCCAATGCAGGATGTTGAAACCAAACCTAGAGGATGCCAAAAGCAAACCAGCACGAGGGTTTTGCTCTTAGCTTGCAAGTGCAAGATGTTGAAAGCAAACAACTTTGATCTTCATGTAGAACAAACACAAAGCTTTGGTATATTTAGGGTGTCTTTGGTTGATGGTTAAGAGAATTAGGTATGTGAGAACTAACAAATTACAAAACACTAGAAAAATGCTTAAAAATTACAAATACAAACTTGATTTGGGCAAATGTAAGCCTGCTAAAGACACAGGATTAAACACTGAATTAAACCCAAAGATAAAAAGTGCTTGAAACTTATAAATCTAAACTTATTAAACCAAAACCCTAACTGTTTAAAATTAATTAAACAAAAATAATTATCAAAGAAACTCAATTTTAAACTAAAGCATGATGTGAAACCAAAACTCCTAGCATTTTCATAACTTAAAAGAGTGAAAGAGATAATAGAACTTTGCAATTATGATAAAGATGATATTGAGTACGATTTTGACATATATTGCTGTCGAAACTTCTTAAGATGAAAGGCAAAAGACTGAATATGATAAAAAATGAAGAGCAAAAACACTTGGAACTCCATTAGTTCCGAGTGTTTAAAAACTTACATTATTTCTGTTCACATATTTTTCCAATCAATCACCTAGAGGTGTAAATCGGACCATGCTCGACCGGTACAACACGATCCGCATGTGGCCTATGCAAAGTGCAGGGTGTGCTGTGTTAGCCCGATGGTCGAGTCGGGCCATGCTTCCCTCCCCTAGGATATTTTGGGGGGTCAGCCCGACACGACCCACGATCCGAGCCCATGCCATGTCGTACCGTGGGCTGAGCTGTAGACCGGGCCAAGTCATGTTTTTTAAAAATTTTGAAAAAATAATGAAAATTTTAACATAAATTACAAAATATATACAAAAAATTAAAAAAGATCTTAAAATTTTATTTTATATGAATTTTGATGTATACAATTGTTTATATATGCAATAATTATACACACATATATATGTGGGTTGGGCCATGCCGACATGCGGGTTATAGGCAGCATAACCCACTCGATCATTGTGCCATGCTGGACCGGGCCAGCTCAAAATCGTGGTGGATTGTGATGGGTCACGGGCAGCACAACCCGATTTGCACCTCTACAATCACCCCTTATTGTTAGTTTTTAAGAAAATAAATTAATAAGCATTGGAGTAAAGCATATAATTGATATAATAAATAGTAAGGGTAATTTTGAAAATACAAATCAGAGTTTTCAAGACAAACTAATTGACTTTTAAACAACTATAAAACAAATAGAAATAATAATGAGGAATAATTTTGGAAATTAAATTTAGGGAATTTTGATGGTTGGGATGATTACCATTCCCATTTTTATTCGGGATTTTTGGAGTATACTTCCCCCAAAAATCTTTTTTGCACACCCCTTCTAGTCTACTAATAGCCCCCCTATAAACCACATCTTGCCCGTAAATTTGGCATCAATGCAGAATTCAGTCCACCCCTAAGTGGAGCTGGGATTTCCTAGGGTGTGACTGAATCATAATTACAACCCCAACCACCAATCCCCTGGGTCCTGATTCACTGCATTCCAGGGAACCTATTACATTATTAGGAGATATGTTTTATTAATCACTTTCATTCTTTATTAATTAGACTGATCACTAGACTAATCTTTAAGCCAATAATAAAAGCCAAGGAGGAGAATCCTGTGAACATCCCTGGAACATTTTTCATCTTTGTACTCATTTTGGCCAGTATGACTTGAGAGTTTCTATACTTGGACTGCATGTCACAAATTGTACGTCTTTCCGTGTGGTCTATTGGTTATTTACAAGTTTGGTAGATTGCAATTTGGTATTTTCCCATTTGGTTGGTAGTAGATTTAGCCACCAAAAATCAATGCATCGAAAAGACATGAAAAACTTAAAACAAGCGATTTTTAGAAAATTTCAAATAGAGTTTTTGTGTTTTTTCTATTTGTCTTTATATAGAAAGATGCATGGAAAGACATGTCTTAACTAAACCGATCTTAATGTAAAAGCTCAATATATCTTTTGACTATTAGAGATACCAAAAAATCTTCCCAAAAAAACTTACTAAACGGCCCTTAAACGTTTATCTCTGTAAGTTTCTTGTGCAACCAATGTCAATTGTCAAAATAAAAACGTAACAATGGTCAAGGAGCACTCTGTTTGAGACTGCCGTAATGTCATCCCACAAAGGTCTTCTATATGTGTGTGTGCATTTCTTTTTAATTAATGTTTATGCACTCATCAAAGAGCTATGATTTGAGGGCCATCTTGAATTGGCCACATTTTCATGTAAGGATGAGGATGAGGACTCACCATTGGCTGGACCCTACCTCTTAATGTGGACAATAAACAAACATTAATTTCATTTGATAATGTTTTTTTAGAAAATTAGGATTTATCTGACAATGAAAAATACTTTAGGAAAATACACTATTGCGGATTGCAGCTACAGCAAAAAAAAAAAAAAAAGCTTTATGAATTATGATAAAGCCAAGCCTATATAACCAATCACTCTGTTATTTGTATTTATTTATTTTTGGGTTCATGGAACCATACAAGTTAAGAGGGTTAATCCATCGGAGTTTGGATGGGCTAACAACGAACCTGATGGCAATCCAAGTCTATGGATAAAAAATTCATCAACTGAACCACCATTGTTTGTTAATTTAGGCCAAATTTGATAAATGATTTATCTGGGTAAATGAACTAAGCAAGTGTTATATGGGAAATATTTATCTGAATAAAAACACTTATCAATGTTTTTTTATTCCTCAGATAAAAATGTAAAATAATCAATTTATCTAAAAAACTATGTTTATCCAAATACAAGGAGAATATTACTTTCTAGGTAAATTAACCATTCAAGAATTGTTCTTTTCTAGGAACCCATTAATATTGAAAACAAACGAGTCCTTAGTATAATAACCCGCAGTTGCGAAATTGCGATTGGTTCGATTTTGGCTTTATGGTGTAAGGAATATATTTTCTAAAAAATAACAAAAGTATTTTAGAAATTCGTGGTTATGCATCACCTGGTGTTGCTTTCTTTGCCAGGCCATCTGTTAGGTAACACCAACTCAACTGTGGGTCCCAATCATTTCTATGGGAGAGGTATTGACAATGGATTTTCTATGATGAGGGCATCCTCATGGCATCATGCTCCATCTAAAACAAATGTACAGAGCTAAAATCCACTTTACCATAAAAGAATAATAAAGTAATCCATGAGGGGGTGACAAATAGGGAAGTCACCCTAAGAAACCTCATAAGGAAATAATTTTGGTCTCTTTCCCATGTACATATGATAAAAAAAAAAAAAAAAAACAAATAGAGCCCACCATGGTACGATGGGTATCTATCTATCGAGTGGATATAAAAATGGAGAAAGATAAATAAAATAAAATAATACAAAAGTAAGCAAAAAAAATTACCAACAATGCTTTCACAGTCACATCAGAATCCACTACCTCACAAACTCAGCTCAAATACCAATTCGAGTGCAGAGTCATTCTCATATCGTATATACGGAGCCATGATCTCATCTCGTCTCATCTCATTTGTAGTTAATAAAAATTTACAGATACCCCTCCTCCATGCACCAACTGCAATTTAAGTGATTTATCACTTCCACTCTTTCACTTATTAATGCTACCCTTATAATATCTGTCTCCTAAGCAACAAGCAAACAAACACACCTCACAATCACAACTGATAAATGATCACTGGTTCATCTCTATATATACTAGAAGACAGAAAATTCTGGACTTGAATCGTCAAAGTAGAACAGCATTTAATGTATGAGGATTTTATGACTTACTACTTGATAAGGAAGCAAGAGCAAGGTTTGATAGCAGTGAATGAGAAAGCAAGATCTGGTTATCCTCTTTCCCTCATTTTTTCTGTCTAATGACTAACTTGAATTGATCGGAGATTTGTTCTATTGTCTTTCAGAGAATCTGCTCTTACAAGAAAAAAGAGTTGCCACGGCACATACCCAGGTCATAGTTTTGGTTTATCTTTTCTTTTCTGGGTTTCCTTTAGTTTTTTAATTTTAATGGTCTGCCTGTACGTGATGATGTGTTGCGATAAAGCACAGAGAAAACAAGGGGTTTTCTCTATGGGTTCTCTCTGTGCCTTTTCGTTTTTCGTGCTTTGTTTGTTGATAAATATCAATTTGTTTTCATGTGCAACGTGTCACAGATTCTCTCTCCAAACAATTCATTTGTTTCTCGCTGCGACTTGTTCCATTTTCAGATATTTCATATAGCACCTACCAACGCAGATGACGGTGAAATGCTCATGGTCCTCTCTCTGCTCTGCTTAAATCTTAAGACACGATACTAACTCCGAATTTTCAATCGTATTTCTCATGAGAGGATCAATGACGCTAATGGATATAACCAACTTGCTCTTCAATGGACTCTCGTCTTCTCCGCCGACGGAATCTCCAGCCATGAATACAATTTTGGGAGGTTTTAAGGATTTGCCTTTGTTGGAACGACTATCTGTTTTGATCCACCTAGCACTTCTCATTCTCTTTCTTTCTTTCGCGTCAGCAAAGCGGCTGGTCGCTTGTATTGGTCGTCGGATACCGGTCACTAAGGAGGACTCGTCGAATGGGAATTCTTTTCCAGTTCGCCACAGTGAAGATGTAATTGCCAATGTAAAGATTGGTGCGGGATTTAAGGTTTCGGTTTTCTGTTGTTTCTACGTTCTATTTCTGCAAGTATTGCTTTTAGGGTTTGATGCCGTTGGCCTTATTAGAGATGGGGCATATGAAAAGAGGAGGGACTGGTCCCTTCTTTGCTTGCCTGTAGCTCAAGGTTTAGCTTGGTTTGTTCTGAGCCTTTTGGCTTTTCACTGTAAATTCAAACCTTTAGAAAAATTCCCATCTTTGCTACGGGTATGGTGGTCTGTTTCATTTCTAATCTGTCTGTGTACTCTGTACGTTGATGGCAGGGGATTGCTTGTAGAAGGGTGGGGACGTTTTAAGTCACATGTTGTGGCGAATTTTGCTTCCACCCCTGCTCTTGCATTCCTCTGTTGCATTGCATTCCGGGGTGTTTCGGGAATACAAATTTGTAGAAACCCCAATTTTCAAGATCCATTGCTGCTTGAAGAAGAAGAAGCAGGTTGTCTTAAGGTGACTCCTTATAGTGAAGCTGGGCTATTTAGCCTGCTCACACTTTCCTGGCTGAATTCTCTTCTGTCTGTTGGTGCAAAAAGACCACTAGAGCTCAAGGACATCCCTCTTTTAGCACCAAAAGATCGGGCCAAGACTAGTTACAAGGTTTTGAACTCAAATTGGGAGAAATTAAAGGCAGATGATCCTGCAAAGCAGCCATCATTGGCTTGGGCAATTCTGAAATCATTCTGGAAGGAGGCAGCCTGCAATGCCATCTTTGCCGGCTTGAATACACTAGTTTCGTATGTGGGTCCTTATCTGATTAGCTACTTTGTGGACTACTTAGGAGGGAATGAGACTTATCCGAATGAAGGTTATGTTCTTGCAGCAGTTTTCTTCACTGCCAAGATGGTGGAAACTATAACCACCCGGCAGTGGTACTTGGGGGTAGACATTTTGGGTATGCATGTGAGATCGGCTCTAACTGCTATGGTGTATCGGAAGGGGCTCAGGCTTTCAAGCTTGGCCAGACAGAGCCACACCAGTGGTGAAATTGTAAATTACATGGCAGTTGATGTGCAACGAGTGGGAGATTACTCATGGTATCTTCATGACATTTGGATGCTCCCTCTACAAATAATTCTTGCTCTAGCAATTCTCTATAGAAATGTGGGAATTGCTTCAGTTGCAACACTAGTAGCCACCATTGTCTCCATTATTATTACTGTCCCTCTAGCAAAGATGCAAGAAGATTACCAAGACAACCTAATGGGATCCAAGGATGAAAGAATGAGGAAGACCTCAGAGTGTCTAAGAAACATGAGGATTCTCAAGTTGCAAGCATGGGAGGACAGGTACCGGGTGAAGCTGGAGGAGATGCGGCATGTGGAATTCAAGTGGCTTCAAAAAGCCCTCTATTCACAGGCTTTTATTACATTCATCTTCTGGGGCTCTCCCATTTTTGTCTCAGTTGTCACTTTTGGTACTTCTATACTTTTGGGTCATCAGCTCACAGCAGGAGGTGTTCTCTCTGCTCTGGCCACTTTCAGGATCCTGCAAGAACCACTTAGGAATTTTCCAGACTTGGTCTCAATGATGGCTCAAACTAAGGTCTCTCTGGATCGAATTGTTGGATTCTTGCAGGAGGAAGAGTTACAGCAAGATGCCACCATTGTTATCCCTAGAAGCCTCACAAACATTGCCATAGAGATAAAAGATGGTGAGTTCTGCTGGGACCCCTCTTCCCCAAGGCCAACATTGTCAGGAATACAGATGAGTGTGGAGAAGGGGATGCGTGTGGCTGTTTGTGGTATGGTTGGTGCTGGAAAATCAAGTTTCCTCTCCTGCATCCTTGGGGAAATACCTAAAGTCTCTGGTGAAGTAAGTAAACTAAATCAAACTACTTTGTTTCACTTATCATGAATTTTTTATATGTTTTTTTTTTTTGTGATTTTCCCTTCTTTGTCTGTTAACAAACAATAAAACATTTTCTTTTTTACATTTCTTGGATGGTTCTAGGTTAGAGTATGTGGATCTGCAGCTTATGTTTCTCAGTCAGCTTGGATACAGTCAGGAAATATAGAAGAAAACATTCTGTTTGGTAGCCCAATGGATAAGATAAAGTACAAGAGTGTTATTCATGCTTGCTCATTGAAAAAGGATTTGGAACTCTTCTCACATGGTGACCAGACAATTATTGGTGATAGAGGCATAAATCTCAGTGGAGGCCAGAAGCAAAGGGTACAACTTGCCAGGGCTCTATATCAAGATGCAGACATTTACTTACTTGATGATCCGTTCAGTGCTGTTGATGCACAAACAGGATCAGAATTATTTAAGGTGAAACATATTACTGATTCTTGAACTCTTGCTCTGAAGCACCATGCTTTCAGAGATTTTGAGCAAGTACATGAAAGACATAATTTTTCTTCTTTTTTTTTTTTAAATACATGGTTTTGGCTATAATATATAATATAACATTGCAGGAATATATATTGACAGCATTGGCAACTAAGACTGTGATATTTGTCACTCATCAAGTTGAGTTTCTGCCAGCTGCAGATCTGATACTGGTATGATGTCTTCTCACTTCTTGTTTCAATGATTTTCTATAATATCAAAGACTGTTGCAGTTGAGGTTGTACTTGTTGTGCTCAAGTTAAGCTTTCATTGATATCTCAAGTAAAGAAATTGAAAACTGTTTTAGGCATCCCCCCCCGCTAGTATTAATAATTATTTACATGTATAATAAAAGCTGTTTCCCCTAGGTTATTGAACTCTATATCTTGAGTGTTTTTGTGTTAATGCACAATTTATTTCCTTGTTTTTTTAACTGAATGAACGTTAAGGTTAGAACACTTCTAAGAGCATAAGCTACCAAACACACATTTCCCACTCACTTCATGAACTTGGTCCTCCATTTTTTAGGTCCTTAAGGAGGGACGCATCATACAGGCAGGAAAATATGAAGATCTTTTGCAATCTGGAACTGATTTCAACACATTGGTTTCAGCTCATCATGAAGCAATTGAAGCTCTGGATATCCCCATGCGCTCATCTGATGATTCAGATGAAAATGTTCCTGGTGATGGTTCTATAATGTTTAATAAAAAGTGCAACTCAACTGCAAATAATATTGACAGTCTGGATAGGGTAGCAACAGAAAATGAATCAGCTTCAGAACGGAAAGCAATTAAAGAAAAGAAGAAGATAAAACGCTCAAGAAAAAAGCAGCTAGTTCAGGAAGAGGAACGAGAAAGAGGAAAAGTCAGCATGAAGGTGTATTTATCATATATGGGTGCAGCATATAAAGGCTTACTAATACCACTCATTATTCTTGCACAGACATCATTTCAGGTGCTTCAGATAGCCAGCAGCTGGTGGATGGCCTGGGCGAATCCACAAACTAAAGGGGCCCAACCGAGGACAAGCAGTATGGTCCTTCTTGTTGTTTATATGGCCCTTGCTTTTGGGAGCTCTTGGTTTGTGTTTGTTAGAGCAGTTTTAGTTGCTACATTTGGTCTGGAAGCTGCACAGAAATTTTTTACAAAGATGCTTAGAACCATCTTTCTGGCACCAATGTCTTTCTTTGACTCTACCCCAGCTGGACGGATTTTGAATCGTGTAAGTTATAACTGGAAAATATATCCTTGTGCTGAAAATCCCTTGGAAGATTATGACAGTATATATAATTCTTGTTTTTTTATTGTGATCAATCATTTGTCAATTACCAGGTATCTGTGGATCAAAGTGTTGTGGATCTTGATATTCCCTTCAGACTTGGTGGGTTTGCAGCAACAACAATTCAGCTTCTTGGTATAGTTGGTGTGATGACTCAAGTTACCTGGGAAGTCTTGCTTCTTGTTGTCCCAATGGCCATTGCTTGCCTGTGGATGCAGGTTATCTAAATTTATCTGCCCCTTAGTTCTTCTTTGTGAACCTAACTGAATCATTCATATACTGCATAGCATACCGTCCAATTTGACTTGGTTCTGCAGTTCTGCATTAGAAAGATAATTAACTGAACTGTGGGAGCGTAAAAAGCTATCATTATATTTGCTTGTTGAACTTTTAGTTTTCTGGTAGGGCAGATATCCAGCAATTCAACTCCTACTTGTGCATGTGCATAAGTTTGGATTTGTGTTGAAAGAATTAGTAGCAGGAAAGGATAGACCTTGAAATGAATGAATATAACTTAAGGGTCAGACCAATTGGTGACAACATAGGAAAATCCAGAGGCATGGTTTATCATGTATAATTTGTACCAATGACTGATCATGGTGTAAAACTTTAGTTCAAGTCACAAGTTATAAAGAATGACAAAGTAATGTGTTCAAACTTCAAAATGGACAGGACAGTTTGTAGACATCTTATTATTTAACAGAAAATGCATCCCTAAATAGAGAGGAATTAGTGGACTGTTCATAGAAAAAAAAAGAGGAATTAGTGGACTATGAATTGATTTTTACAGCAGGGCCCAAAATTTGGAATGAAGGCTTTGACTATCAAAAAAAAATATTAATTTTATTGATTGTAGAATTTGAAACTCTTTGTGCTTTTGGCTGTATGGAAAACAATGTAGGTTTCATTTAGGAGAATATAATTATTTATTTCAACAAATTTTCTTTCTTTTCCTTTTTCTTCAGATCAATTGTTTCAACAAGTATATATATATATATATATATATATATATATATATAGATAGATAGATAGATAGATAGATAGATAGATAGATAGATAGATAGATAGATAGATAGATAGATAGATAGATGACTAGAGAACAAGACCTTTTGGTGGGGAGTGATTTGTGCACATTTCGTTTTTGATAAACTGGGCAAATTCCTAGTGAAAAGATAAAGAAACCATTGCAATTATCACACAATTCAAAATGGTTTTGTCCTTTAAGACACGTAACCTGAGTAAAGAATGATGTTTGGGGTGTCCTCAAATCACTCTCGGTAAGAATACATATGAAATGACTGGGAAAGGTTAGACATGTTTAAAATACCAATAAAAATTTTACATCACTGTTCTAGAGTTTCCCTCATGGTTGGAGTTTCTTTTTACTTGAACATTACATAGTCACCTGGTAACCCAAATTTAAAGTTGAAATTATTTTATTTCATCACTTTATAGTAGGATATATTTGTTTAAGCTTCTTTTTGTGAATGCAGAAATACTATTTGGCTTCATCAAGGGAACTTGTTCGCATTGTAAGCATTCAGAAATCTCCAATAATCCATCTTTTTGGGGAGTCAATTGCTGGAGCAGCAACAATTAGGGGTTTTGGGCAAGAAAAGCGATTCATGAAGAGGAACTTATATCTTCTTGATTGCTTTAATCGCCCCTTCTTCTGCAGCCTCTCAGCCATTGAGTGGCTCTGCTTGCGCATGGAATTACTTTCAACTTTCGTATTTGCATTTTGCATGACTCTTCTTGTGGGCTTCCCACATGGAAGTATTGATCCAAGTACGTAGTATTTTATTACCTTATCTTAGTATTTGATGTTTGCTTCTCCTCATGAAAAAGTTCTGCATGATTAGGCTGCACAAAGTACTACTGAAATCCTATAGGTTGCAAATAGGGTACCTTACCTGATTTGTAGAATTTTGACTGCATTGGGTCCAGGCTCTCTTGTTAAGCCCCTTTAAAAAGTTAAGAAATGCTCAACCTGAACCTGCCCAAGTTGTATCCTAAAACTATAAGTTCCAAATATGATTACTTGAAATGCATCTAAGAAAATTATATAATTCATTCCTTTGCATATGTTCCATATACAATGAAAGAATGATTCATTTACTCAACCCCAAATAATTGGTAGAAAAATCAGATGATGTACTTGGCGTACAATGAAAGATATATATACTCTAGTTTAGCACTCGCTTAGATCAGTTTTTATTGCATTTATTAACCGCTGCCGCTTCTCCTATAAAGGTATGGCTGGTCTTGCTGTGACATATGGCCTTAATTTGAATGCAAGATTATCACGTTGGATACTGAGCTTTTGCAAGCTTGAAAATAAAATTATTTCTATTGAACGTATTCATCAGTACTGCCAAATCCCAAGCGAAGCTCCAACTATTATTGAGAACTCTCGCCCTCCATCCTCCTGGCCAGAAAATGGAACAATTGAATTGATTGATCTGAAGGTATGCACTTAGTTTTTCCCTTTAATTTATGATACGGATCATTATGGAAGTTGCAAAAATCTGATTCACTCCAACTAAATATTTCTTTGTGCCAAAAAGGATATATTAAGAAAATCCAAAATTCTACTAAATCAGATATATTAATACATTGATTTTCTGAAGTATGCTTTGAAAGAGGGGTGATCATGGGCTCGGCTTAGCACCTAGGGCTAAAACTATAGCCCAAGCCCAGACTGAGATGGACCCAGTTCCATGCCTATGTTTTAAATGTAAAAATATTTTATATATATATATATAATGTAAAACATTAAATATATAATATATGACATATATAAATATCTATATTTTATGCTACATTTTATATAATAAAATAACGCATATATATCCATATATATTTTATATATCAATATTTGTGGGTCAGGCCAGGCACCTATGGGCTGGGCCATTAGGGCTATTGTGGGCCACGCCAGGCTACAAATGATCACCCCTACTCTGAAACCTAAGTTTTGGGGTGAAGCAAATATGAAGTTTAGTTATATTCCCTTACACAATACCTCTATCTGTACAAGATTGCTTGGATCTTCAATAGGCACTCTTACCTCTCTCCACATAAATGTCTTTGGGTGATGGGGAATCAGCCACCTATCTTGTTCACCATTGAAATGTCGAGAGACTGTTACTTCTTGATGGGTTGGTTGGTCAGTGGGTTTCAAATAGGTAACTCCTGTTTGTATGCTTTGTCAAACAAAATCATGCAGCTTTGAGTTAAGGAGTAGGTTGTTTTGGAAAAAATCACATGTGGCCATGTGAGAAACATGGGAGAAAGGAAGGAGAACATCTTTTATAGAAAAAAGGCTTCTTTTGTGATGTTTAGAGGCTATGCAAACTCTCCCATTGGCTCATAAGTATTTTTTTTGGTAGTAAATAGAAAGAAACCTTATTAAATAAGAAAAGAAAATAAAGGGAGGAATGGGTGATGAGATGACATCTTAATCCAGGAGTTACATCCAAAACAAAAGAAACAAAATACAGAGATCCTCTACTCTCAATATAATTACAGTACTTCTGTTGACATTTCAAGAGTAGACCAAAGCCTGGGTCAAAAAGAAAATTTTTGTATGTTTTCAATTCAGGATGTACAAAAATCCAGTCAACTGTTTTTCATATCTCCAATCTTGGCCTTTCATAACCCTTATGTCTTCCATTAAAGATTCTTCTATTTCTTTTCCTTCCAAATTCCTCATGCTACCACAAACAGAACTACTCCAAGAGATTTTTTGTCTTCTTGCTACCATGGAGCAATGACCAGAAAGAAAAGATCCGAGGGAGATGTATTGGGTTCCACACTTGTTTTCCAGACACACAGAAGAAAAAACCCCAAATTAAAATCTGGAACAGGGAACATTTTGGCAGGCTGGAGGAAGTGAAGGAGAGGATCTTAGCTAGGATTGAGGAACTAGACAAGAAAGAAGCCCAGAGAGGAATCTCAAGAGAGGAAATAGAGGAGAGGTGGAGTGTAAAGGTAGAGCTGGAAAAGTTAATGTGGAAAGAGGAAATTTCTTGGAGGCAAAATTCTAGGAGTAAGTGGTTGATGGAGGTGGATGGTAATACAAAGTTTTTTCACTCCTTGGATAACAGAAGAAAAAGGAAAAATCTCATAACCAGCTTAGAAGTGGACGGACAAGAGTTAAGAAGGGAAGAGGAAATCATTAAGGCCTTTCTGTATCACTTTAAGGGCATTTTTGCTAATTTAGGGAGGAAGAAGTTCAGATCTTCCTGAATTGGATTGGGATAGAGTGGATATTATTCAAACTTTAGCCTTGGAGAATATCTTTAGTCTTGAGGAAATCAGAGAGGCTATGTTTTCAATGGAGAGATCTAAGGCCCTTGGATTGGATGGTTTTTTTATGACTTTTTACCAAGACTTTTGGGAGATTTTAAAAGATGGTCTTTTGGAAGTCTTTAATGAATTTCACAAAAAAAGAAACATCCTGTTCAGGTAATAAAGTTCTCTTTTGGGAGGATATGTGGCTTGGGGACTTCCCTCTAAAGGACAGATTCCCGGCTATCTACTCCCTCTCCTTGAACAAGCTTAAAGTCATCTCTTCCATTCATGCTTCTGGGGATTCTTGGGATTAGGAGAGGTTTGAGGGACTCAGAAATGAGTTTGGCAGATGAGCTCCTTTCTCTTCTAAGCTCAGTTTTCTTGGATCAATCCTGTCCCGATAGTAGAATTTGGTCGAGTCTTCATCAGGTTGCTTCTCTGTTTCCTCATTTTTCAATGCACTCTTTTCCTGCTAAAGAAGTGTTGTGTGCTCCAATACCCCCGAAGGTAAGGGCTTTTTGTTGGGAAGTGGTACTCTAAAAAATTAACACTTTGAATGCGCTTCAAAAAAAGTGACCAAAATGGTGCTTATCCCCACATGTTTACTGTCTTTGCTTGAATAGTGGTGAGATGATAAATCATCTACTTTTATCCTGTCCTTTAGCAACTCATATCTGGGAATGGTTCTCTTCCCTCTTTGATTGCAAGTGGAACCCCCCCCCCCCCCYCAAGAGTGGCGAAGCTGTTTGGTTCTAGTTTTTTCCGACAACCAAAGAAGCGGGAAAGGGTGATGTGGAGAACAATGAGAGCAGCTATTGAGTGGGCAGTTTGGGAAGAGAGAAATAACATGATTTTCCAAGGCCAAGAAAAATCACTACTTCAAGTTGTAGAAGGCATCACCATCAGGGTGATACATTAGCTGAAAACTATGGACCTTTTCAAGGATTTTTCTGCAGATGACTTGCTTAGAGGTTGGAATATAGTAGCAGGCTCTTCCATCCCTCCTACTATTACTATTGTTAATGAGGAGTGGACCCCACCCTCACTGTTTTCTGTGAAACTGAACTTTGATGGCAGTTCTATGGGAAACCCTGGTCCTTCTGGAATGGGGGGTGTGGTTGGAGATACGGAAGGAAGAGTTTTGACCCTTTTCTCTGGCCCTTTAGGGGTGGGTGACTCACTAAGAGCAGAAGTAATGGCGCTCCTTCAAGGGCTCAGATTGGCTAAACAGTTGGGCCTCCAATGGTTAGAAGTGGAAGGGGATTCAAGATTAGTCATAGGCTGGATGCAAACAAGGAATTTGGGCGCTTGGCCCCTTAGACAACATATAAGGGAAATATTGAATTTGACACGGGAGTTAGGAGCACAATTTAACTGGGTTAGGAAAACAACAAATGGGTTGGCTGATGTTTTAGCAAAGCAAGGGGGTCAATAGGGAGACATTATTTTGGGCATGCTTATAATTTGCTTATCCTATGAGGGGTCATCTTTTTGAAGGTGGCAGTTGTAATTCTATAATTCTCATATTTAATGAAAGTTACTGTTTCCTATCAAAAAAAAAAATCTCCCCAAGTATAAATGCTACTTTTGTAGCCTTGGTGCCAAAAAGGAAGGAAACCAAGATCCCAAAGGATTTTAGACCTATTGGTTTAGTGGGGAGTCTTTACAAAATAATAGCTAGGGTTCTCTCTTTCCGATTTAAAAAGAAAAAAGTGTTGGGTCTTCCAGTTTCAACGGGCTTTTGTGGAGGGACAACAAATTATTGATCAAAATTTGGTTGCAGATGAATGTGTGGCAGAGAAGAAAATGTTGGGAGGAAAAGGTTTGATCTGCAAATCAGACTTTTCAAGGCATATGATCTAGTGGACTGGAGTTTTCTCCTGGGGATTCTAGAAAAAATAGGCCTTACTGACCGTTAGAGAATGTGGATTAAAGATTGTATTTTTTGATCAATAACAGAATTTCATTAAAAATAGAAAAAGATGATTACAAGATTAGGTGAGATAAATTTTCTTAACTCTCCACAAAACAATTTGCAATTACAATTGAGCCCAAAACAATTGATTCCTTCCCACCCCTTGTTTTGCTAATGCATCCTCCTTATAGATAGAGATAGGCCAATGGATTGAAGCAAGGTTCAAAATTTTGCAACGTATCGGACCGTATCGGCCGATACATATTGTTCTAGTACAAGTCCGATACACGGAACGTATAGAAATTATCTGTAGCGTTCCTTTTCAAATGAATTGGTCTGTATTGGCCAATATGGTTTTGAAATAGTCCGATACAAGTCCCCTTCTCTCTCATTAATTTCATTAAATTATATTTAGAGTCAAATTACCTCTCATTAATTTTGTATTTACTCCTATATTTAAGTGCAATTTCTCTCATTAATTAGTTAATTACTCCTGTACTTAATGCATAGTTTTAAATTTGAATTTCAATTTTAGCACCTAATTGGAATTCTTCTCATTAATTTCGTTAATTAATAACCCTCTTTCTCATTAAATTTGTTTTGTTAGTATAAAACTACAAACTTAGCAATAACAAGATTCGAACCTTAGCTATTAGGCTTTAACAACTAGAGGTTCACCACTAAGCCACGCCCATTTGCTTGCTATAGGCTTATGCATTTTTATTTTTAAGTAAATTTTCTCTTTTTCTTAGTGTATGCTTATCAATAAATGTTAGAATTAATTATTAAAATTTATGTATTAATAAATATTAAGTTAAATTATATTGATTATTTTAAAACTAATGTATATCAATATACATTTTAGTTTTTTTTTTTTCACATTTTAGTTATTCCATCATTTGTCAATAGTTACTAAGTGTGTCTTGATATCTCGAATTTTATATAGACCATTAAGTTACAGTTTTTTTTTTTTTTTTTACTTTTAAATAACTTATTTACAATCAAATAAAACTTGTAACTATCATTATTAATATACTTTTTAGGATTTATTTGAGTTTTTTAACATTATGCGTATCTTGATTTTTCGTCCGTATTCATACATATCCAAAGCGTATCCCGATATGTCTTTTAAAATTATCTTTCCGATACACCTTACGTTTCCGATACTTTAAACCTTGGCTTGAAGTTAATCTGGGCAAAGCTCTAGACAGTAGACCACCCCATTGCTCCTCCCAATCCACGAAAAAGAAAAATCTATCT